TAATATTTTAAAAGTAGACTTGTACTTTATGTAAAATCTTAATTGAATATTCAATAAAGATAGAGGCATGGCCTCACTATTAATATTTAAAAAAAAATAAAAAAATACAAGTTGATAAAGCATTTTTTTTGCATTCAAATAGCTTGTAAACTAGTCTATTGGTAATAACTTCTATTTGGTTTTGAAAACTGCAAATATCTGTTTATTCAACTGCCTATCTTCTGCATTATACTCTCTTATAAGGCAATTTACTAAATTTTTTTTGCTTAAAATCTATATGATCTTATAAATCTATATATTGTTTTCTGCACAAAAATCCTATAGAAAATTTATAATTTCTTCTATTATATATACTTTTTTTTATATTTTATCATCCTTACTGCAACCTTATTGTTACAAACAATGTTATCTAAGAATATTTTAGCATTCTTACAAAAGCTTCCAATACTTATAATGTTGCTAAACTCTTTAATCAGACTATCTTCATTGATATAAATGGTTTCAGCCAACTTTCTGCTGCAACATATTTAAATATATACCATTTTAGCTTATCACTGATGCATTTATAAAAACTGCCTTTATCTGTGCTAGCTTTCATACCAGTTTGAAATTCTATTTTATAATATTTTTTCTCAACTACCTTATATTCTTCAATGTTTTGTCTAACAACTAAACATTTGTGTTCTATTGATAGTAATTCCAATTTACTTCATCTATTATAGTATAGAATTTTAGCTATTTCACTTGGCTGGTAGAAAGGCTTGTGCAAAACTTTGAATCTTTTCTGCCAATAATGCTAATTTTCTTGGCAGCATTATTCATAAACCCTCTATTATACCAAACTTCTTGTACACTATTTGAATTTTCTTTTTTGGCACTTCAACTACTCACTTTTTCATATTTACTATTAACTCATAAAACTTCATTCTTGTTGTTAAATTTCAACATTTTTTGTTTATTAACTTTATAAATCTACACACCTTTAACTTAATTCTTATACTCTTTTTCTTATTGATAACAAAATTTCTTTTAATGAATTTGCTATCTAAACATTATTGATATGATTTTAACAGAATATTCTTTAGATCTCTAAGACCCTATTAACACTTTTATTATCTTTAAAAAAATTCAAAATAACTAAAACAGACTGAATGGTAACACTATGTAATAAAACTATTTTACCTTTACTTGAAATCTCAGAACCTATTGTCTATTAGAAAATAAGAATATCTATCTCTCAGATCAAACACAATTATTTACCAATCCATTCTAATTATTTTTAAAAATCTTTTCAAGTCTTCAAAACAAAATAACTTCTATAACAATATCTAATTCAATCTCCTTAAATCTATTACTAAGCAATAATGTTTTAAGCCTGCTATTACTACCAAGAACACTAGTTACACCTTTAGCAAAAATTCCAATTTCATTTTTTCTACATGCATTAGCCTTATTATATCTACTCTTTTCAATCTTTTCAATTCTCTCTTTATTCACTATAATTTGTTTGTAAAAATTTTAAACTGCTTTACTATATCTAAGCTAATAACTTTACTTCTTTTAAAAAAGTGATATACCTTTTTTTGACAACACTATTACTAAGCCACTGTTTTGATAACCCTTTTCCAATACTTTACTGACAATTACTTTCTACTATTTTTCATTTCACCTGTTCTCTCTCTTTCTAAATGTAGTCAACTTTTTGCTTTCTTTATATTTGTTTCTTAAAAATGCTAGTTAGACCTTTATTAAGAACAATTTCAAACAATATAACTCTTTTTTTCACAAATAAAATACATGATTCTTGAATTCCTCACCTTCTTAATAAATCTATTCAGGGTATTCATCCTGAAACCACTCTGATTTACTCCTAATAGGTTCTATAAATTATCCTGATTTTTATATCACTATTGGTATAAAGTCTGGTCTAATCTTATATTACTGTAAGGTTGTACACCTAGATTAAAACCAAATTGTTAAACAGACTAAAATGTAGACTACTGCATAGTCTAATTTGATGATAAACTTTTAACAGACCATTCTGTAAAGGTTGTTCTCATTTCTGGCTTATTTTTCAACTTTGGTCATTTATTCTTTGCCATCTGTCTGACATTTATTAACCTCTTCTAAAAATATGTTTACATATGATCATCCTCCAAAGAATCTCTAATTTTTGCTACTTTATTCTACTCTTCTTTACTTGTTACTCTCAACATAAATACTCTAATTACAACAATATTCCAAATCTTAACTATCAAATTTCAATCTTTATTTCTCAATGCATTATTTAAATACTTTTCTTCTTTGCACTATTTATTATACTCAAATTGGTTCCTTGTTTTTTTTAATTTCTTTTTATCCAATATTTATTTTCTTCCTTATGCTGCATTGACTAAACACTTCTCTTAAATTTACTCACAACTTTCTACATTATTGTCTGAACTATTTTCTTCAAAAACCTCTTATTTATATTTGATCTTCTCTTATCCTTATTTTTATGCATCAAGTTATTCAACTTACTATCCAACTTTTCCTCTTATGTATTCTTACTTTATTACTATACTTAACATCTTTCTCTTTTACTTTATCAATCATCTTCATTGCAAGCCTTTCTATTAACTTTTTCTTAACTTCTGTTTCTAGTAAAGCTTTACCCTTACATATTATCTTCAGCATCTCCATTAACAACTGATCTAACCTACTCTTTATACTCTGTTGCAATGTCTTTTTTGTATTATCCTTAAAGGCATAATTTGTTAATAATGTTGTTAAAAATATTTCATGTACATTATTATTGTTCTCTATACCATTATATTGTTTTCTTTATAACTATATGATTTATGACAAAGCTAAACTTGTGTTAAACTAGCAGCAAAGACAAAAGAGAAAAAATTATTTTCTATTTATACTTCACTTATATAACTATTGTTGTGAATAGATTCCTGCAACTCAGTTGCTCCACAATCCAAATTCTTTTGCAACTAACAATAGGTAACCTTTTCAAAAAAGAATGTTAGATATTGCTGATAAGTGATTAAGGCTTTTGGTTACTTCAGGTTTACAAAGACAAGTCAAGTAAGTTATATGCAAAGAACTTAAACAAACAACAATATTATAGAAGTTTACAGTATTTATATCAGTATCAGTATTAGTGTTTATTAGAAATAATATAAGGTTTTGTGACTTATTATTTAATAATACAAACAGAGTACTGTTACTCTTAAGGGGCATTTAGGTCTTTATTTATATTACTAAATTTGTTATCTACAAATATGACTTTGCACTTATTATTACTTTAAGATTACTAAATATTATTTACTATAAGTTATATAATATCTTTTAGGATATATAATTTGTTTTTACATCCTTTTTTATGAATCTAAAATACCATTTTCAATTACAAATGTAACTTATTATATTTCATGAATTTTTTATATAATCAGTTATAATACTGATATATATTTTTCTCCTGCTTAGGTTATACATACTATATATAATCCTCTTTAATGATTATCTTAGTTCATTGCAAAAGGCAGAAATACTAGATTGACATCAATAGAGAACATATTGGTGATGTTGTCCTTTTGAACTCCAATCCCATCTTGGCAACAATAACCAACATTACACATTTCTTTGTCATCTGTATTATATATTGTATTATCATTGTTATTGTTGTTATCATTATTGTTATCTAATGCTTGACAGCTATTCTTTTTAACTTTAATTCTATTTTTATAACAAGATTTAACATAATATGTTTCATTGATGTTTTTTATTTCTGCAGATTTTTAATAGTAAACAGGGGCCTTAGATTTATTCATTTTAGCAGTTTTTTTTGGTCAAAGTCAAAGACTAAGTTACTATTCTGCAGAGATTCTTGACTTTCATTATCTTATTTTTTGCCAAGTATGATAAAAAGGCTAGTATACATTTTTTGCAAAAGGGTTATATATAGGCACTTAATAACAGTGTAGCCTCTTACTCAACAATAATAGCACTATATGTTTTATTAGAGGCTTCTTCTAGTTGGTCAAAAGTTCTATAGCTTGCAGTATTGGTGGTTTTCTTGTTGGTTTCAAACTTCCTTCAGGATCAGTTAAATGTTGACAAGAGGTAAGTATCATATATTTTTTTTTGTATTTATTTGGTCTTGAATCCTTTGATATAGCTCACTAACATACTAACACTTTTACTTACTATTCCTATAACAAAACCATGGATAAGGCCTTTTTCTTGAACCTCAAACCTGAATTTAATCATTTCAACTGTTTATAGTACATTGAAAGAGTTAAAAATAACAACAGTAGTCCTTAGTATATTAAGAATTAACTAAACAGAGTAACACTATACTCAGCTTTCTACACATTATTGATATTAACCAGAAGTATGCTAATTCTTTTTTTTTTCTATAGCAAGAATTGCAATACATTGAATTAGGCTAAAATTTCTTCCTTGAGCCTTATGTTATAGGGCTTCTAATTTTGTAGCCCAGCTGCTTAAACCAATTTTATTAAGATTCATTAATGGGATATTGTATAATTTCACAGTTATTACTAAAATGTTATAGATGGATTTTTTTAACTCAGTTGCTCCATAAACTGAATTTTCTTACAACTAACAATAGATAACCTTTTTAAAAGAGGGTGTTATATTTGGCTAATAGGTAATTAAGGTTTTAGTTACTTTGGGTCTATGAAGGTAAGATGAGTAAGTCACCTGCTTAAGAACTTAAATGAACAATGATGTTATAGGGGTTTAAAGAGTTTATATCAGTATTAGTATTAGTGTTTATTAGAGGTAATATAAGGTGTTTGTGACTTATTATTTAATAATGCAAATAGAGCACTGTTACTCTTAAGAGCCATTTAGGCCTTTATTTATATTATTAAATTCATCACTTACAAATGCAACTTTGCAGTTATAATTACTTTAAAGCTACTAAATATTATTTACTATAAGTTATGTAATATTTTTAAGGATGTGTAATTTGTTCTTACATCTTCTTTTCTAAATCTTAAATACTATTTCTGATCACAATTGTAACTTATTACATTTCATGTATTTTTCACATAAATGGTTATGATATTCAGTATCACACTATTCTTTATGACCTTATACTTATCATATTCTATTTAATTAAACTACTCTATTTTCTTACTTCTAATGACCTTATTACTTAATTAATCACTTGATTATACTTTCTTATTAGCACTTACTTACCTAATAATAATATTATGAATGAGTAATGTGACTTATAACAAATAACTGCCATGTGACTTCATTTATAGCATTAATTTTTATATAAATTTTTAGTCTCAATATATTTGTTATGTGATGTTCGAAACTTTTTGGATGGCTGTTTTACTATGTCTGCATATCTACATAGAACTTTTATTTTTTTATTATTCTATATATATAAGCATATACTTAATTAAATTTTTTTGTTATTGGTAGCTCTTACTTACTATTTCTTGTTATAATAAATAAGTCATTCTTTAAACAACATTATTATAACATAGGTGTTAATAAACCAATTTGGCATCATTTTAAAATGCTAAATGTATTTAAAATATATTATTTTAACAAAAAATTATATTTTTACTAATTATTTTTTTATATATTTTTATAATTCATAAAAAATTAAAAACCTTTACTATATTCTGTGAATTCTATATGGAATTTTTAAAAAACTGTGATTTGCCCATTACTACCCCTAGCTGAAGGCTTCTCTGAAAAATGAACAACTAATCAAATGCTGAATAACTCTTACCAATCTCTTGATTTACATTGACCAATCAAATTGGCACATATTTGTTCATTATAAATGTTTATCTACTATTCTCTTTCAAGAGTTTTAAAAGTGATGTTAATCAAAAATTTAATTACAACAGCTTTATTAAAGTAATAATGCTTTTTCTTATAAAATATCTGATATTTTTATTATAAACTGAAACTGTTGTTGTACTATACAACATCTCATTATTACTATTTTGATTTTTTTATTAAAATGCATCGAAAATGAGAACTTTGCATAAAATTGATTCATTGCCACATTTTAGACAATAAAAATAAGAAATCAGTTAAATGGTTTCAACTTTAATAGTTTAGATAACTTTACTCTATATTAAAATAAAATTTCTAAAATAATTGAATTAATTCTCTAATATATATAAATTTTCAAACTATTATTGCTCATAATATAGGTACAAAGATATTATTTTCATCCTTTATTTTTTTGCCTTTTTTAGATAATTTTTAATTTACAAAATTATATGTTATTTCAAAAATAGATACAGTATGAATAAATTTTAATGTTTATATTTATATTGTTACTAATTACAAATGTAATGCAAGTCTAATAATAATCACTAATTAATAAAATAGCTGTACAACATTGTTATGCAAAACCAGAAATAGGAGACATAAAGAATATTAGTATTGTATTAAAATATATTGGTTGTTGACTATTGGGCATGTGTAGTAATGTGTTATATAACAGTACAAAATCATTAAAAAACTGTACAGTGTGACTTTTAGAATCCAGATTAGTTAAAATTGTATTAGCTAGTATAATTCTAGTCAGGTTGCATAATGCTGCAAGCTGTACAGTGGCTCATTTTTCAGGTACTTTTTAAAGTAGTTAGTAAAGTAGTACTGTACAATTGTATAAATATGACAGAAGTACAAAAATTAAGTAAAATTTTAATAGTAGGTATAGTTAATGTAGGTTTATAAAATTAATTTTTACAAGTCCATTATCCGTTTGTTACATGGATGTGATGAATTTTTGAATGTGACTTATAGCATTAGTTAATATAATTATTTAGCTAATGCTTGTCATACAAATAATTTACCATAACTTTATGCCAAATGAAAGAAGAAAAGTCCTTTTTAAAAAAAGTTTTTCTTTTATAAATCATATGTACTATTATGATTTTCACATGTTTGCCCTTATTTGTGTTTCTATACTATGCTATTTTATTATATACTATTGTTTATACAGCTAATAAAATCACTAAATATGTATTGAATAGACTGTATATAAAAAAAATTGGGGTATCATATCATTTTACCCTATTCTTGATATAAGCAAAAACAAGATATAACTTGTCTTGCTATATTTTATCAAATCCAATTTAAATACAGTAACTTTTTTTTTTATAAAAATCATGCAATGTATATGAAGTTCTTAAGATCAGGAATTAAATAATTAAAAAACAAGACATACATTGGTTTGTATAAGCTATTGTTACTATTGTATATTAGGAGAGTGAGTAACTAATAATGTAACTACTATTAGAAAATAGGATTCTATATGTTATAGTGGGTAGGTCAATAGTAATTAATTGAAAAGAGTAGTAGTTTATAGATGGACAGAATTAATTTAATTAAGAGTAGTGTGAATCTTAAAGATATTTTTAGAAGTAATTTATATAAAGAATTATAATAAATAATTAATTTAATTACTATGTAATTGATCGAGTATAATAATATTTCTATAGATAGTTTTTCTTAAGTGTATTATACTTTATAACTATATAAGATACAGCTTTTATTTATTCAGGGAAAGGTTTATTTAGCCTCAGTGCTTACTTTCTTTATATTAAATAAGAGACCTAGTATATACTTATGTACAAGAATAATGTAATATAATAAGAAATTAGACGAAGTTTAGATTAATATAAAATGTTTTAGAAATGATATAGTATTTTATTTGTCTTTAAGATTTTATTATTAACTTAATTTGTAACTTAATTCACATTTGGTCCTTTTTGAAAAGGTGAAAGAACCTATATTTATACAATTTTAT